TAATCTGCAAGGCACCACAATCAGCTTCTTTTCATCCTCTTTTTAAATGTGTTAAATCCACTTAGTGTCCAACATATGTGCAAATGAGTTGGCACTTACCAAACATTTTTCAAAGGGTTGTCTCTTGCATCTTACCATGTCACTGAGTGTAATGCATATGCACATAAAACTCACACTTAGTGGCACTAGATAATCATTGCAACTAAATATTTCTTCTCTTTATAGTATGGCTATCTATCCTGAACCCAACTGGGTATTCTATTGCACCTTTGTTGCCAAAAGCAGAGCCCTATCATATACCTTTGGCTTGGCTTGCCTTTGCTCCATCTTCTCTTCATTTGATGAACACTTTGATATATGAGAGCATGATCTCCATCTCCATCACCTCCTATGCCTTGTCCATCACCATCAAGTGGATCCTAGCTAAGCATACTCAATAAAAAAGAATTAGTGGTTGGCATTCAATTGCCAAAATTAAACTAGGGCTTTCTGCTATGCCTAGGATATCAGCACGATTGGCTGCACGACTTGGGCCGGCATGGCACGAAAATGGCATGTAAGCACATCTAAAATGCTACGATATAATTTCTATTTACTATACCACCTCTCATCTAATTGTTAAATGGACTATTAAAATCAAACGAACTTTTATAAAAGAAGAAATATACAAAATATATTTTTTATATTACATGTAGACAAAGAAACTATGAAAGATATTTTGAGGACCGTGCTTGGACCAACACGACTAAGTTGTGTCAGCGTGCTTGGATCGAAGCAAAAAGTAGTCATGTCATATCGGCACGGTCAGACGTGCTTCACGTGCTTAGAGATCATGAGCTAAAATGGCATGGCCCAAGTTCCACCGCTAGCTTAGATGGTTGGGTTTTTAAGGCAAAACCTGTCCACCCGAGTTTAAGGTCTCGATTTCATGCTATGCTCGTATTTTTTAGATTTATTTTAGGATTTAAAGATGTTGTTATTGTATTGAATAGGCAGTGGCATGTGATGTGTCTGTCTATAGTGGGGGATTGTGAGAAAAAAAAGTATCTAAAGTTGATATGACGGAGAGTACGTGTTTCGCCTGTTTCTTTAGCGTGTTGTCAGGTACTCAAGTGGTTTCTTTCAGGAGATAGGTTTCTTAGCATTACATTATGAAAAGTGCTGATATCTTGTGTCAACGTCAAACGTCGGTAACAGCATATTTAATTTCCTTCATTCATCTTGTGCCACGGGACCTTGATATCAATAGGCGCATCATGTCAACTTCATTCTTCGAATCAACGGTTGAGGGAACTGCCCAGTCTTTCAAGAGTTAAAGTACAACTCATGCCCACCAACAAGGGAACAAGTGATGCATCTAGTTAGCACAAACCATCTGATGCTGCACCTATAGGTTTAGGTTCCATTTGTGTGTATATCCTCCATCCTGCGAATGGGTATGTGAACTTTGAGATTTTAATCCTGAAGAATTTATTAGTAAAATATTGCTTAAATATAGGGAAATTACCAGAAGAAAAGATTATTAAGGAACGGGTTTCCTCTATGGTATCAAAATTTAGGTATAATTTAAAACGTTAATAAACTTAGGGCCTTTTAGTGTAGTTGTTCTAACTCCTCCAACTCCTGCTTCTCCTTGTGTTTGTTGTACTTGGATTTGGCTTTTTTCATATATGCTGTGTCTTAAAAAAAACTTAAGGTCTGTTTGGTTGAGTTGTTGTTTTTGGAGGAGTTAGTTGTTTTAACCCCTCCTATTTCTTCAAAAAAAACTTAGGATCTATTTGGTTGAGCTATGACTTTTGAAAAAGTAACTATGAACCGTGGGATGTGGAAAAGTTGTTGTAGCTTATGGGCTGCTAGAAAACTGAATGTTGTTTGGTTCAACACCTATGGCTTTGGAAAAGATGCTATCAACGGCCCCACTTATCATTCGACCCATGTTGATGGTAGTTAACATTCATCACAAACCGTCAATATATCTTGCATAAATGACTAAAATGGATCACCAACATGGACTTAGTGGTTTTAACCGACAAATTCCACGAGTTTTGATAAATCTGTGTTTCCAGCATGATTTAATCAGAAAACCGCCAAGGAGGACCTATTCGTCAAAGAAAATTGCGTAATTCCGCACTATAAACAACACGGGAAGACTTCAGAAGACTCCAGAAGGCTCTCCACCGAAGTGGAGCCCGAGCTCCTGCCAGGTGTGCCGCCGGTCCCACATGCAGGCCGGCCGACCTATGGGGCCACCCTATCAGCCTCCCGTTGCTATGTCGGTTCTCCACCGCCTCAAGGATCACATCTATGGCATCCATTCAAGTTGGTTTGATCCGAGGGTCCACGATGCTTCAAGGGCCCTATATATACCTGCCTGCACCCCCTCCAGGGCATGCCATGCATTTGATCATGAGAGCCAGAAACACTAATTCATATTTCCACCAGGATCAGAGCTAGCAATCAAGAGAAGATTATGATCTAGTCTTGTATTAGAGATAGAGAGATAGAGTGAGAGGGAAGACTTTCAAAGGAGCCCCGGCCTGTCGGTGCTCTCTCTACGGCTTGTACCTTAGCAGAATCAAGTTCTTTTTGAGCTTGCTTCTGTGATTTCTCTGGTAATCGACTTCTAATTCAAGTAAGCATCTTGTTCATATTGTTCTTTAGGTTTGCGACTCTCTTTTGAGTACTTTAATCCTTGCAGCTCCTGGGTTAAAGTAGTATTCGTAGTGTAAGCGTGGTGCTTAGACTCGGTTACTCGTGGATGTACCCTACATTTTGGATCGGTGGTAGCTCGCGAGGGTGACTCTTATAGCATTATTGAATCCTTTATAGTCCACCTCTCGTTAGTAGGCCTAGCAGGACCTTGTTGCTATAGGAAACATACTCTGCCTGTGTTTTCTTTAGTAATATCCCCATAATTGAATAATAGAAGACAAAGTTTACCGAAGTTAGAACTAGAATACCATTGTGATCTCCTCTACGCTCTTATTATCTAGGCTTGATTGTGAAGTTGGGTTAAGTTAGATTTGATTATTCTCACACATGTTTCCTCGAGTTCGATATAAAATTGGGTACTTCTGGTGAAGTGCTACATCGGTATAATATCCATGCGCTTGCGGATTATTCTGTGTGCATTAATTTATACCAACAACCCCCACATGTCAACCACCCAATACATTTTTCTTTGTTTCTCCATGTGTTTCTTCCCGTTCGCCGACGAGGACATGGATGGCGCATTGTGGCTCTCGGTCTCGTGCTCCGGTCCTCGAAAACGTGAGCACGGTGGCTCTATGGCACAAGCACGACGATGTGAACTTGGTTGCTCGTTTCTTGGCGACAGGAGGTGGACGGCGGCGGCAATACTTCGTGTCACTCGCACAAAATGAACCGAGCTATGATTTGTGTCGCACGCTCGTGCCTGCAGCCAAGCTACTCCCGCGGTGGAGCTCCGGGCCTGCGGCGACGCTCGCGCCCGCATGGTCCTCGTGCCCGCGCTGAGTTGTGCCTACTACAGAGCTTCAGCCTGCGGCGGCCATTGTGCCCGAGGTCGAGCTGCACCCGCGGTGGAGATGGCGGCTGAAGCGGAGCTAGGGAAGGACCACCATAGGCCGAACCCAAATCCACGGGCCTCGTCGTCGTCACGGAGAAGCAGTAGAGGAAGGCTGGAATGGAGCTGAGGAAGGGGGGCCGCTGGGTCGCCAACGGGTGACCGCCGTCCTGGAACTACAAGGCCACCGGCCGGTGGAGTGCCGTGTGGAGCAGCAAGGTCCCAAGGTATCCGGAAGCTTCTCCATGTGGATAGGGGAAGGAATCGAAAAAGAAAAGAAATCGTTGCATAACATAACCAATGACAAGTGGGTAATCTTCGTGAAAAGTTGAAGCCACAGCAGGTGAAAGCAGGGGTGAGGGTGCCATGAAATTTGTACTAGCTAAAAGATGCTTTTGGTTGTGGATTTTGGTGAAATCCAACCTCTTTGGTTGGCTTTTGGCTTTTGGGGAAGCCAAAACAGGTTCAAAAGCCCAACAAAAAGGGGCCTTAGTAGATTCTGGCACCACAACTCATTAGGAATCTATGAAAAATGTTGCCACGCGCCCACGTCTTCAAATTTTCCTCTCTATTCAACTATCTGTGTGGCTCAATGAGAGATCAGGCGATGGCGAAACAAGCTGGAGAAACTATTGACATTCAACCAACAAGCTGGAGAAAGTGTTTTTCTAGTTAGTGAAACTGACACTAGAAAAAAAAATCCTTATTCAAAGAACATAGCTGAATTGACTACATTCGCTTGGCTCAATTTGACTAAAAAACAAGTCAAAACATTGTTCCGGCTGAATTGTTGTGAGAGAAAAACACTGTTCCGGCTAAAAAAAAAAGTCGAACAAACCGGATTTTAAGACAAGCGAACAGGGCCTAAAGCTGAAGCTTTACCAGACAGGTCCCAAGTTAGTCCACCCTCCTCTCAATTTCTGATGTTGGATAATTATACACATGGTTTATAGTTTAGAAATAAACCTTAGATTTATTTGATTCAATTGTATTTTGGTAAGGGTGTTTAATCAATTATTAAATCCAACGACTACACACTACATGCTATGATTTCTTTCTTTTTCATGACAGAGGTGGCCAACCACGTGTCGGTGATCCAACACAACACACAGCAGAGCTGGCGCGTATGGCCTTGTGGAACGGCGGCGTGCTCTGAATCTCTGATAGAGCACTCCATCATTTCTAATTCCCGCCATTCTTCTCAGATACTTCTTGGGAGGAGGCGGGGCCAGACGCAGAGAAAAGAATCATAAATTACAGCTCCAGTTTTTACAAAAACAAAAAGTCTCCGGCTACTCTGGAATGCAGCAACATGGCCCAAGGACGAGGAGATGATACATGGAGTTGGGCCACCGACGAAAAACTAATACAATAATAATTATGTATAGGAAAAAAAAGGGATAAAGCGGCATATTCGAGGCATGTGTGAGGTGCCGTAGAAACGTGTGCCAATGCCATGCACGCAGCTCTGCCCTGCGTTGCCCCTCGCGACGCCGCCGTCCGCGAGCCACTTGTGCCGCAGTGGATCGACCGCCTCACCGTCGCCGGTCATCCGCACGGCCGCTGAAAATCTCTTTCGCTTTATTCCTCTCCTCCCATCATCGTCGGGATATATAGCTACTAGATAAATACCCAAGAATCCTACCTACAGCCACCAATAATATTATTCTTACTCTGATCTGAGAAATGGAGCACCGCAAAAGAAAAAGGAAATATTCCATATCACTACGAAAATAAAGATTTATATCACTTTTTGATTTTTTTTATATAATATGGATTTTTATTCCTTTAAAAAATGGGGGGAAAACAACATGCTCTGCTGGACGCTATAATAGCACAGATGCCCTGCTTTCTGTCCTCTGCGCGACTCCTCCTTGAGGCAAGCAAAGAGGAGCTGCACGCTGCACGTATATAACCACTTAACCAGGCCAGCAACTGTTGAGCACTTCAGTTGAGTCCGGCACCGCCGTCGCCGCTGCCCCGGCGAGGAGGAGCAGGGGAGGCGATCATGGCGGCAGGGAACGAGTGGATCAACGGGTACCTGGAGGCGATCCTGGACGCGGGCAGCGGCAGGGCCAGGGCCATGTCGGCGCGGCGCCGCCGCTGACAACGGCTGCGCTGCCGAGGCTGCTGGCGGAGGCCGGCGGGCAGGGTGCCGCGGCGTACAGCCCCACGCGATACTTCGTGGAGGAGGTGGTCAGCTGCTTCGACGACCGGGACCTCCACAAGACGTGGACCAAGGTGCGTATCGTACACGCTGATCGTCTCTTCTGGTTCTGGAGAGCAGTGGTGATGGATTCTTGGCTCTTGGCTCCTTTCGATCGCAAGCAGGTGGTGGCGATGCGCATCAGCCAGGAGCGGAGCAACCGGCTGGAGAACCTGTGCTGGAGGATCTGGCACGTCGTCGCCAGGAAGAAGCAGCAGGTACGCATGCTTTTCAGGATGAAACGCGCGCGGCAAAGTCAATCAGCTACCGCTCTGTCGTTCCAGTTGCTTATTCTTTCGTCTGGAGACGCAGCACATGCATGCGCCTGCTCTGCTTTTTTAACACTCTCTCGGTTCAAGGGCATGTTTAGTTCCACCAAAACGTCAAATTTTTTAATATTTCTCGTCACATCGAATCTTTGGACGCATGCACGAAGCAACATTAAATTTTTCAAGATTTTCCGTCACATCGAATCTTTGGACGCATGCACGAAACATTAAATATAAATAAAAAATAAAACTAATTACACAATTTAGACGAAATTCACGAGATGAATCTTTTAAGTCTAATTAGACTATGATTGGACACTAATTGCTAAATAACAACAAAAACGCTACAGTGTCGTTTTGCTAAAAATTTTGACAACCAAACTGGCCCCAAGTTCTTTTTGTCTGCGTTCTCTTCTAAATCCAAATCCAAAAGAAAAAACACAAGATGATCATCGTCATCGGTTTCGCAGTTAACCTGGCCCATAGGGCACCTGGCGCCTCCGATTGTCAACTGTTTCCTTTTTTCCCTTTTTTGATTGAATCGGCACATCTCGTTATCAGGAAAGGAGTTCGAAGCCATGCCCTGCACTGCACATATCCCCTTTCCTCATTCAAAAGGAACTCTAATTACTAATGTACTGTACTAGTCTACTACTACTACAGGCCAGAGACGTGGATGTATTTGCGTAAATAGGCCTCACTTTGCTACGTACTACTGTAGATACACAAGGAAGTCGCTCGAATACGGTGACGGACGGTGATTTTCTGGTGCAGTTGTTACTGCGAGTGCAACTGTTCATCACAGTAGCGACCATGTCCCTGGTACTCAATCCATCTTAAACTATAAGGCGTTCTGGCTCTTTTAGGTAAGTAGCTTATGCTATGCACATAGATATACACTATGTATAGATATATATCAAAACGTCTTATAATTTTAAACGGACAGAGTACCATTGATTCCTTTAGCGCAGTTGATTGCCTAGAAGCCCACTCACTGTCTTCATGTTGTAAAATACTTCTATTTAAATCACAACCGTGTGGTCGCTGGTCTCGGTAATCTTGCGATTACTGTGGCCAGCTTAGGATGTAACGCTATTTAATGAAAAACGTACCAAGGCGCGGTCGAGAAAAAAGCAGTTGATTTGGCCCGTTCATCTAGGAAGCCTATTCGCTGATTGATTTCTGGGCTGATAAGCCCAGCTAATACTAGTTTATTATGAGAGAAAAATACTATTGGCTGACTAAGCAAACGGACGGTCCACGTTGCGTCTTGCGGTCCATCCTGGTGCCGTGTCCGAATCTGAGGATTCCTTGCGATGCTAGATTCGAATTTCGAAAAATGCGATGAAAACAAACATGGTAGTAGTATTTCACTTTTGTGCAAAATTAACCACGAGCAGGTGGAGTGGGAGTACTCGCGGCAGCTGGCGCTGCGGCGCCTGGAGCAGGAGCAGGGCAGCCGGGAGGCCGCCGAGGAGCTCTCCGTCTCCGAGGGCGAGACCAAGGCCGACGCCGCCCAGGCCCAGCAGGCTCTGTCTCCGAGGAGCTCAGAGTGGGCCTGCACATCAGAGGCACAAAGCAACTGAAATACACCGAAACATATCAAACGCTGCATCGTTGATCCAGCGACCACAAAACAAAAAAAACGCCACATCGCGGGAGGTAGAGACGGCATGAGACGGAGCGCCGAGATCAAAGGAACAAAACATCCGACGGCCAAAAAAACAGTGTGACGGGGGCAAAAATTTCACACGGGCAAAATATAGATTTTCTGTTAAATAAACATTAACCCGTCCTTTTCGTGCGTTTCACTCACGTCCAGGTGATGTACGTGGTGGAGCGCTGGCCCGGGCGCTGGCGGCCACCACCGGCGCGCACCGCGTGTACCTGCTAACAGCGGCGAATCTACGATTTTAGCTTAGGATATGCTGTCCAAAAAATTTTATATATAATTCGGTAAATCTATTTTATTAATTCGGTAATAATTGTAAAGTTAACAACGTAATTCGGTATATATGTACTAAATAACACAATAAGGCTTAAATTCATGGATTAACTTTAAACCATCAACTAAATATAGTATAAATAGTTCAAAAGTCATACCGATAATTGAAATATAGGCATAAAAGAGAACCAGAGAATTACAATTCTATTTTTCTGACTATTTTATTCGACGCTTTCGAAGGGACATAAATATTTTCATTATATCATCTTCGTCAACTTGAAAAATATCTGAGTTGTAGCAGTGACGGTGAAGATGGTTGTGGCGGTGGCGGTGGCGGTGGCATAAGATTTGCAATTTTCTCAATTCTCTCATGAGTCTGCTCTTCCACCACACGTTCAACCGGATCGGGGGAATGATTAGAGGCAGAAGCAGCCATCGCTGCCTTTTTTGCTTCATGCTTCTGAAAAAGTGATGCAATATCCGAGTTTTTCTTTATAACTGTATAAATATTAAACAATTTGTTATTTGTGATGTTAACAAATAGCTATGAAATTAGACAATAATTTTCTAAAAAGATGAAGAGCAGAAGATTAAATTTTATATACCTAACACAAATAGCGAATCGGCGAGCCTCCGTGACTGCGCGGCCGTGCAAACTACATTGTAGATGCATGATCGGAGAACGGAAGGCAGCAAGGCAGAGGCCCGAGGGCACCGGCCACCAGGACCAGCAGGGCGTCGCCATCCATCACGCCTCACCACAGCGGCGTCGGCGTCAATCGTCAGGGCGGCGGCATCGTGAGTTCATGAATCAACCCCGATGAATGGATCCAGGTTATAGAATACCAAAAGCCAATAGAGAACTATCGTGTAGGCGTGTACGTACTTACTGCGTGGGCCGCTTCCTGGGCCTTCTAACTTGCTGCTTCCACGATGGCGTGATCAGGTGAGTATTTTTTCTTTTTTTATAAATACATATGTATAATACTTATATTATATTGTACACTTGCTGGTCAAACAGGGTATGCCGGGGCATACCCGGCATACCTTGTGGCTCCGCCACTGCCTGATTGACGCGCCAGGTCTCTAGCCCGGACATCGACTGGACCTACAGCGAGCCCATCGACTAGCAGCACATCTGACGTGTATGAACTTGAATTTATGATACGGTAAACCCTAGAATATGAACTAGTGCTAGAAATCAGAGGGAGAGAGAGGAATGCGGTGTTAGCAAACCATTGATCGCCTTGGAGGTAGACGAGCTGGCCATGGTGTCGGTGTCGGTGACGCGGTGAAGGCATAGAGTAGCAGTGAAGTCCGGTGACAGTGTGGACGTCGCAGTGGAGGAGCGGTCGTAGAGGCGGCGGTGAAGACGCGGTGGTGGTGGCTTCCCGTCGCTTGCAGCGCCCTCTCTAAATCGACTTAGGGTTAGGATATAGGTGGGGTTTGTGGCGGCTCAGGTGAACCTCGTGCCTAGTGCCCCGGCCCTCACCTCCTTTTTATGTCACTATGTGATGGGGGCCCACCAACCATTGATTCAGTTGGGCGCCCCCGATCAGGGCGCGGGATCAAGGCCCGACTTGGTCGTTGGACCGAGTCGTAGGAGATCAACCTAAAATTTCCCCCTTGATCTCAACTTATAACTTAAACTTAACTTACTTTATCTTGTTCCGATTACATCACAGATCAGTGCATAGAGTGTGCCTCATCATCACGGTCAGTTGCCAGTAGATTAACAGCTACAAATGCACCTCTCTGTTTTGAAACAGATTCTTATGTAGGTCCTTATTGTCTAGAAATTATAGGCTTTCCCTTAAACCCATGCCGGCTAAGTGTTCTTTGAACACATTTGGTGGTAAGCCTTTTGTGAGCGGATCCACGAGCATCTTTTCTGTACTTATGTGCTCAAGACTAATTATATGATCCCGGACTTTATGTCAATGTGTTTGGCAGCACCACTTGACTTATTGTTGTGAGCATAATATAATGCTAGATTATTATCGCAGTACAACTTCAGTGGCTTATGTATGTCGTCTACCACTTTCAACCCGGACATAAACTTCTTTAGCCAATTCACCTACCGTGTGGCCTCATAACACGTTACAAACTCGGTATACATCGTAGACGATGTAGTGACGATTTGCTTGGAGCTTTTCCATGATATAGCTCCTCCTGCGAGAGTAAATATGTATCATAACATGGACTTTCTATCATCTCCCGCATAATCTGAATCTGAATATCCCTCTATGTGTAGGGAATTAGATCTTTTGTTCTTTAGCATGAGACCTTTTGTGCCTTGCAAGTAACCCAAAACTTTCTTTACTAGTCTCCAGTGTTCTATTCCTGGATTACTCTGATATCTGCCAAGTAACCCAGTAACAAACGCTATGTCTGGGCGTGTACACACTTGAGCATACTATAAACTTTCGACAGCTGAAGCATATGGAACCGCTTTCATTTGATCGAGCTCATATTGGTTCCTGGGACATTGGAATTCCGCAAATCTATCGCCCTTGACTATGGGAGTAGGTGAAGGCTTACAATTTTGCATACTGTATTTCTTTAGAACCTTTTCTAAGTATGCCTTTTGTGATAATCCTAAAACCCCCTTTGTTCTATCTCGGTGAATTTCTATTCCTAGAATGAATGAAGCTTCATTGATATCCTTCATATCAAAGTTGGAGGACAAGAACTTCTTCGTTTCTATTAGTAGATTAACATCACTACTAGCGAGTAAGATGTCATCCACATACAAGATTAGAAAAATGTATTTTCCATTCTTGAACTTTTCATAAACGTAATTGTCCTCTACATTTTCTTGAAACCCAAACTTCCTTATTGTACTATCAAACTTTAAATACCACTATCTTGATGCTTGTTTTAATCCATAAATAGATTTTGTTCTGGCGGCATCCCATACATTCTTTTTCTTCCACAACAAAACCTTTTGGTTGTGCCATGTAAATATTTTCCTCCAAATCCCCGTTTAGGAACGCCGTCTTTACATCCATCTGATGTAATTCTAAATCGTAATGTGCTACAAGCGCCATTATGATTCTAAAAGAATCCTTACATGAGACTGGAGAAAATGTCTCATTATAATCTATGCCTTCTTTTTGCATGAACCCTTTCACCACAAGTCACACTTTAAATCTTTCTACATTCCCTTTGGAGTCATATTTAATTTTGTAGACCAATCTACAGCCTACTTTCTTAGCTCGTTTAGGAATTGTTTCTAAGTCCCAAACTCCGTTGGTATTCATTGATCTTATTTCATCCTACATGGCTTCAAGCCACTTTGATGAGTGAGTGCTTCTCATGGCTTCTTCAAATGAGGTGAGATCACTCTCCATTTAAAATTCTTCACATTCATAGACTTCGTAGTCATCAGGAATGACTGGTCTTCTGACTCTTTGAGACCTTCTAGGGGCCTCGTTAGTTGACGCTTGTTCTATATGAGGCTGTTGTTGCTCTTCCTCATGTGTGACAACAGGTTCTATAGGATCCTGAATGATAGGTTCCTTATGTTCATTCATTGTTGCCACTGTAGAACTAACAACAGGTGATGTTACTATAGTGTCTTGCACTGTTGGTACAGCAACAACAGATAGCGTGAAGAATGGCTCCTGAACCATTAGAGTGGGCACATATACCCGCTTCTCTTCAAAATTAATCTCATGCTATCATGCTCCCCCTGACCATATCATCATCCAAGAACACAGCATGTCTTGTTTCTACAAACTTCATATGTCTATCAGGACAATAGAAGCGATAACCTTTTGACTTTTCTAGACAGCCAATGAAATGTCAACTGATTGTCTTGGAGTCTAGCTTCCCTATGTTTAGGTTAAAGAGTTTAGCCTCAGCTGGACAACCCCACACACATAAATAGTTAAGTGAGGGTTCCTTTTATGTCCACAACTCATATGATGATTTGGGCACCGACTTTCTTGACACTCGATTAAGAATATGAATGATGGTTTTTAACGCCTCCATCCATAAACTTATCGGTAGAGTAGAGTAACTTATCATACTTCTCACCATATCCATTAAGGTACGGTTGCGTCTTTCAGCTACTCCATTCTACTGAGGCTCGCCCGGTGTAGAGTACTGGGCAACTATGCCATTTTTGTGTAAGAACCTTACAAAAGGTTTAGGAACTTGGCCATATGGGGTGTGTCGACCGTAGTACTCTCCCCCACGGTCGGATCTTACTATCTTAATCTTTAAGTTGTGCTGATTTTCTACTTCAGCCTTAAATATCTTAAATTTATTCAATGCTTCTGATCTTTCCTTAATTGGATAAATATAGCCATAACGAGAATATTCATATGTGAATGTTATAAATGAATCATAACCATCCACACTCTTCACAGGAAAAGGACCATAGATGTATGTGTGAACTACTTCTAAAATTCCTATATTTCGTTTAGCATCTTTCTTTATTTTCTTAACATACTTTCCTTTTATGCAATCAATGCATTGTTCTAAATCTGAAAATTATAAAGGCAGAAGAATTGATTTCTTAATCAATCGCTCTATTCTCCCCCTCAAAATATGGCCAAAACGATAGTGCCATAATTTTGATGATACATCATGAACTCTCTTCCGCTTATTTGTTGCAATCATAGACGAGGAAGC